CAGAGTGGTCACTGCACTCCAGTCTGGGCAACAGAGTGAGACTTCAACTAAAAAAAAAAAAAAAAAACACTGAAAACTGCCGGTCTCTTCAGGTAGGTACCTGAAAATTGTCATAGTGTCACTACCACCATGTTCCCTCGGTCGAGCCGTCTTGGGGCCAGATCTGAGGGGCAGGGACATAGACGCCACTTCTCCACAGGTGTGTCACGCCGTCCTCAGCTCCCACCCCTGTCCTTCTCGTCCACTGGGCTCTGGTCACGTGGGCCTTCCTGCTGCTCCCCAAACCCTCCTCACATGCTCCCACCCCAGGGCCTTTGCACCTTCTCCTCCTGGCTGAAATGGTCCTCCCCTCCAGACATGGGTCCCTGCTCAGAGAAGCCCTCTTGCCCTAAAATAGCAGCCCGCCCCACGGATCCCTCCAGAGACCCCAGCCCTGCTTTTCCTTCAGCTCACACACTCAGCTGGTTGGAGGCTTGTTGACCGCAGCAATGCTGGACCCAGCTGTGCTTGGAACCCAGCTGCTGAATGATCTGCAGCTCCTCTCAGCTCCTCGAATCCCAGAGCGCTCCTTCTAAACGCATACCACATCAGTCGCTCCCCTGCCTGTAACCCTCCCTAACTCCCCACTTCTGCAAAGAGAAGTCACAACTCACAACTCTTTGCCCTCCGTGCTCCTCTCAGAGTTGAGAAATCTCCTTCCCTCAACCACACCTTCTAACCCCACCCCTCACTTGGTGCTAACTGCCTGCACTGCCCGTCTCTCATCTGTCTGGCAAGTGCTACTCATCCTTTGGGATCACCTCCTCCTGGAAGCAGTCTCTGATCTCAAGGCTGGGCTAGGCTCCATACTTCTGTGCTCTCGCAGGTCCCCCTGCGTCTCAGTGTCTGTGCCCCAGCCCCTTACATCACATGGCCTGTCTCCCCCAGGCCAGGTGCTCCTGTCTGGGGCCCAGCACTGGTCAGGTAAACAGTAGGTGCTCAGTGGATGCTCATGAGGGACCGAATGGCCAAATCCTTGAACCTCAGCCTCCGCTCACACCCATTTGTGCAGAAAAAGAAACAATAGTCTTTATTGATAAATAGGTTACAATTAAATAAATAGAACAATGGTTTGTTGGGGAATAAAAACTGAAGCAGAATTCAGTCTTTCTCCGGCTTCAGGCTTCAGTTCCCCTGGCTGGACACCGCAGATGGTCAGGTCTTGACACACAGTCCAAGCTTTCTTGGGCGCTTGGGGGCCTCCGTCTCCTTGGCCAAGTGTGCTGGCACTGTTTTAGACCCACCATTCTTAACAGGAGAAGCTCCCTTGGGGTTTGGCCCTTCCCTGGTACCCTGGGTGACTGCCTCTTTAGGGGCCTTGGCCTTGGCCACCACCTTCTTTTTGGTCAGGGAAGCAGCACCATTCTTGATCTGTATGAAAGCAAACCAGGGGCAAGGAGACAGAGATGGGCAGGACTGGACACACAGTTCAGAGCCCAGGTTGGCCAGGGTTGAAATTCCAACTCTGGGCTGGGCCCAATGGTTCATGCCTGTAATCCTAGCACTTTGGGAGGTAGAGGCAAGAGGACTGCCTGAGCCCAGGGGTTCAAGACCAGCCTGGACAACTTGGTGAGACCACATCTCTACAATAAATCAAAAAATTAGCCAGGCATGGTGGCATGCACCTGTAGTTCCAGATACTTGGAAGGCTGAGGCAGAAGGATCGCCTGAGCCTAGCAGCTCAAGGCTGTGGTGGCCATGAGTGTGCCACTACACTTCAACCTGGGCAACAGAATGAGATTCTAACTCAAAGAAACTTTTTAAATTAAAAAGAATTAAAAATGAAATCCCAGCTCCGGGTCTTTGGGTGGGTAGCCTCACCTCTCTAAGTTCTAGTCCCTCTCTGTAAAATGGGGGTGGTGACACCCCCAGGGTGCTAGAGGGTCAGAGAGGAGGAGGGGTTGGACTGTGCTTTGTAGGAAAAGACATCTACCCCGCATCCCCAGCCAGCCCCTCCAGGTTTGGGTGTGTGATGCCCGAGCTCTGGCCTGTTCGGGGAGGGCGCCCGACTAGGGAAGTCACACACCTACCTTGTTGGCCATGGGCTGTGAGCTGTTACTCCTGGCTTTGGTTTTCCTGGGGGCCTCAGCATCTCCTGCAAGGTGGGGGGTAGTCATGTGGGAAGGACTCCTCTCAGCAGGAGATGCTGGTGGGGCAGGGAGGTTCAGGGACACCAGAGGCCCCTAGCCAGCCTAGATCCCAGGTCCCTACCTGGTGGGGCAGGCCATTGGCCCCTCTGAGCCTCCGTGCCCTGGTCTGCAAACTGGGGATGACAGTAACTCCCTCACAAGACAGTTGGAGGATCCACCAGGGCAGACCTGGACTTCACGCCGGCCCACAACCTGAGGTTCTTAGCAGGTCTACCAGCTTCTGGTCCTCCATTTGTCTTCCACATGGCAGCCAGAACACATTGTACAAAATAATCCATTGTCTTCCGGATAAAGCCCAGGCTCCCTATGCCTTCCCCGCACTGCAGACAGACAGAACTATTTGCAGTTCCTCAAAAGCTCCATCTTCTTCATGCCTCCAGGCTTTGCACGGGCTCTTCTGCTTGGGACACTTCCTCCAGGAAACCTTCCCTGACCCCTGCCTTAGGGATGAGTCAGGCTCCTGGTCTCTCTGCTCCATAACCCTTGAAATCACTGCCCCCTGCCCCTTACTAGCTACCGGAGTTCTGCTTCTCCAGGTCAAGCCAACCACGCAGGACACATTTACTAGAGAAGGAAACCCCCTCCCAGGGCTGGGCCCGCCCTCCCACCCCAGTGACGGCCAGAAACCACTGTCCCACACCCTCCTCTCCCCTTCTTCACACACTCACCTCGGCTGCTCCTGCTGCCTTTGACCTTCGACTTCCCACGGAGCCCATTGGCACTGGAAGGGGCCTGGGCTTTGTCTGCCTTGGGGGGGGCCTTCCTAGCCCCACCCGGTTTTGCCTCGCCACCCTTGGCCTCACTGCCTTTCTTGGCTGCAGCTTGTTTGGGAGGAGCCTTCTTCACCTCTCCCGGCTTCTTTTCCACCTCGTCCGAGTTGGGAGGGTCCTGCTTGGCCTTGCCTTGTTTCTTGGGGCCCCTCTCCTTGGCTTTGCCAGCTTTCCTGGGGGCCCCCGGGGTGGCCGTCTTCCTGGGCTGGCTTTTCCTCTTGTGCTTGGGAGCTAGCTGCCGGGGGGAACGGAGAACACGGGTGGGATTGAGAGCAGAGGTTCTGTCATCTCGTGCCCCTGCACCCTCCTCCATAAGACTCCGAGGACGGGGGTGCTCAGCAGGTGGGCAGGGGCCAGGGAGAAGATGCACAACCACCGCCTTCCGCCCACCCTCGCAGACAT